AGTGGGCAAGCAGAACAATGAGTCTATGTTGGATGAAGCAGCAGTAGCATACCCAGAGTTGGTAAGATACCAGATTTGAAAAACATTATATGTGAAAGCTTGGCTGTCTCAAACAAATTGTTCATACCTCCACTGATAAAACTGAGGTTTTTGTTCTGAAAGTTAAACAAGCAACATATTGCCAACTCTCTGAAAGAGGAGGGTAATTTTACAGACGAATCTGTCAAATCTACAAAAAGCGCAAATTTCTCCGGTTTATATCTGTCAGCTTATCAAGTCTGAGCCACAAACAAGCATAAATGTGACAGGTAATCTACATTCACAACATCATGTTAACAAGTCAGTCATGTGTTACTTTTGTGAGTAAATTTTGAGAAGGCAATACCCTCCATAAAAGAGATACAATGAAAAGTTTAAATTGTTTGTGACTGGATATGTCTGCAGAAAAAATACTGAAACTGGCTAACACTGAATCAGCAATATTCAAACCAATTCATCACATTACTAGAAACTGTACAGATTAGAAATAATGTGTCATTTTCAGCAAGTAGTAATAAAACATAAATTTATATTATTCACTTTCACAGAAATATCATACTATGCCAAATATATTTTTGAACAGTTACTCCTGTAAGTACTATGTATCTATGTGCATTATGTGATAAAATTCAAGAGGCTTGACTCTGAAGTAAGATGCAAGCACATGACAAAAATATCAGTCAGCATTCGTTACTTCCAAGGGGTTCAAAACAACCCATTATGAAAAGAGTATACATTGTAAGTAAAAGAACCCAGACAGATTCATTGCAATTGATTCCAAATCACTTGTTACATCAATCATACTTTCCTGCAATTACTGATGCTGTTTGAATTAAAGGTTTCTAATTTAATAATAACCTGCAAGATGCAATCTGATCACCAATACACTAGAGTTTTGAAATGTTTCATAAATGAATAATGAAACTAACTAAATATACTACAGGAAATACGGAACAGCAAAAATTTAGGCACCTGGCACCGGGGACTTGTTAAGCCCTGTTTGACATGTTAAGGCTTGTGACACAACTGACATAAATTATGTTTTGAGTTTCAGAAGTTGTCTTCTTCACATCTTCAGTTGAGCGGTTGATAGACTGAAAGATTTTTTTTATTGACTTTATTTTTTAGTATTATGGTAATGGTTTGAACTGAACCTCAAACCTTTTCAATACTAAACCTGTATGCCAACCACCCTAACGATTCTAAGGGACCAAACCTTAAACCATGTTAATTCTGAACTTATATGAAAATGTTTGGCACACAAAAATATTAAAGGGTTCTAGCTCAATCCTGATCACTGCTAACTGATTTCAAAAAGATAATCTTCATCATTAACAATGATGACAGCGACAGCAATCGCAACAATAACAATAAGATCTGTCAGCATTATAACAACCAATAACTTGATGGTGGGACTAAAGTCAACACCCAAAGCATCACATCCAGCTTACACACAGCTCTGAAGCCAGTGAGAATATAACCCATGTTGGTAAAACACTTTTCACTCAGAATTACCTCAAAATCACCTCCAGATATTATGAAATACATCATGCGACAGCTGTATAACTCAACAGATAATATGCAACATAATTATTATACTAATCAAACACAGGAAAAACCTTTAGAGAATCAAACTCAGGTTATCATCATACATAAAAGCTACTGCACATATCTACACATCTACACTCACTGTCTGCTATAAGAGACATGAAATTAAATAGCATTTGGTCACACATGTTCTGTGAGGTTGCAGGAGAAAGTGGGTTGGTGAACAATCATAAACAACGGTACTTACTAGTTTCTGTTTACATTGTTCCCTTCTGGGAAAATATTTCGCAGATGGATAGCTTTCTGATGTAACTGACCTTCAAATTCATGTCATAAATGTGCACTATTTACCTGTATGCCAATGGCTATGAACACTCTCATTTCAGGAACTAAACCTCAGTTAATAACAGACCAAAGACGCAAATTAAACTATAGATTTTTAATTTCTATCAAGTGAAATATAAACTCTGGTACCAAACTTACGCAGATGTAATGGCTCTGTATCGCTCCTGTCCTGCTGTATCCCATATTTGGGCTTTAATCGTCTTTCCATCCACCTGCAAGCAGTGAAATTGAATTGTGCCATTTTAAGTCAATTACATATTTTCTTTCAAGTCATAAAAGCAACATGCCTGCTACGTGAATATACACACATAACCAGTTTCAAGCTTCCAAGGCATGAAGAATGAAAATGAACGTAGCTGCTAAGTTTATACATGCATACAAATACTAACATGATCACATTTTTCATCATAATACAAAATTGTTCCAAAAAATAAGTGCCTGCATGACAATAATTAATAAAATACATTTGTGGCTATCTCAGGACCACAGAAGTTTTACCAACTATAATACCAATTTTTAAACTTTTGCCTTTAATGCAAAAAGATTGCAGACAACATTTTGGGTTAAAATCACGATAGAAAGTACAATCTGAGATATATCCAGTACTTTTCTGTAAAAGGCAAAAGAAAGGTGAAGCTATCCCTGTAACTGGCTGTGAAGGCCCATGGCGTTGGGAGATGTCTAGTCTCCCAAATTTTCTCTAGACAATCAGCTCACAGATGCTGTAAGTTTGTCAGCCTTATGCGCCTGCTGCCCTTTATCCCCGCCAGGAAGATTCCTGGTACTCATTTCTGTTAGAGGCTGAGCTGACCCCAGAGCCACAGTGCAGCTTGAAGGATTAGGTAAACTGAAAACACTCCACCTCATTGGGATTCAAACCCGTGACCTTCCAGCTTGTAGATAGTGCCTCAACCAACTATGCTACCACATGCCCCAGTACTTTTCTGTAATTTATATAAAATGTTTTACTAAATTTCTACAACTTCCTGGAGTACTACATATGAGCTGAGATTCTCACAGTGGTGATCGTGAAGTGTTCTGCCTTCTGAAACATAACACAGTGTAGCCCGATGATGGCCAACTGACGTTTTGGTGGGACACATTGCCTCAGTCTTCAGGATTGATGATTAAGCCAAGTACATAACCACCATGAAGCACGATAAAAGCAGTTCCGATGTGGCTTACCCTACAACCCTGAAGATGAGAGAGAAATGTTCCTTCAAACCACCACCAGGCTTCCACCATACTAAATAACACTATATCCCAGAAAACAGAATTCTTACAAAAAAGTACTATTTCTCTACTAATTATAATCCCCTATTGCAACATTACAAAAACGGGTAAAAGTGCCATCCTATATGTACCAAGATGCGGCAATCTGAACTGAACTCATTTCACCTTTACAGAAAACACCTCACCTGTATACTCCTAGTTGCAAACTCCACTCCTATTGTCGACTTTGACTCCAAATTGAACTCATTGCGTGTAAAACGTGATAATAAGTTACTTTTTCCCACTCCTGAATCTCCAATGAGTACCACTGCAAACATTAAAATTACGTACGTCACACCAAAAATTTCTAGTAACTTCCCAATAAAACATATTGTTTGTCACTAATTGTAAAATATGCAATGGAAACTATACAATTTCACTAATTCACACCAACATTTACATCGCTCCACAAACTTAACAAGTTTGTGAGCAAGAGATAAAACGTCAAACTTCGTTCTAATAACTATGCAAACTGCTTAAGCTGTAACACGTATTTAATCATACACATACATAAAGAAATTAAAGAAGCGCATACATAATTCCCCGCGTAACAAATAACTACGTGATATTACCTTTGAATAAATAGTCATACTCATCGTCTCGAGTACCCATCTTCTACTTGGAATTTAGGCCCTATTCCCTATATGGGAAGAAATAATCGATAATTTTGTTTTAATAGCGTAGTACACAATCACCACTACGTTACAATATAATGTAAAATTTTCACAAACGAATCACAAGATCCTCTGAACAATAAAATGCAGGATGTTTAAGATAAATCAAAATATTGCTAAGACTCAAACAACTCTCAAAAGGGATCTATAACATTACAATATGGCTGCCAACCTCCTACGCCCCTTCCTCTGCGCAAACGCATAACGTCATTAATTCGGTGACGTTTCGCCATACTTCTTCAGAAATGCCAACAATCTTCTTACGATTTCCCTGCATGTGTGTTGTCTATCGTTGGCTATGCTAGGGACATATTAAGAGGTTGTGAGCGTTGTGAGAGTTGTGTTAATGTACATTTCTGTTTTCCAGATTGTTAATTTTATTCACACAACCTGATATTTAACTGTGAATTTGTAAAAAGTTGGTATGTATCAATTAGGCCATCGTTATGCAAGGCGTCTCAAAGAATTCATGTTTTACTGTATACTTTCTGGGATGGAAGAAGTGTGAGGTTATGCTACATATTTGGGTACTTTGGTTGCATTACGCGTCTGAACGTTTAAATGTTCTCCAACATAACCGTGTGTTAATAGGTCATGTTTTGTCGTATTTCACATGAGATACCGTATTTAAACGGTTTGTTTAACGTTTATTATTATGGTGACTGCATAAGTAAACACTTGTTTATAGCAGTCTAGGATCAGCGGTGGTTATGAAGAGTGCCTTCTTCTGGGATACAACGCCATGTATTCTGCTGAAAGTTAACCGACTGTTCAGAGGACAATGTGGCCACCTGGTGACACGCTGGTATCTTGCGTGGCTTATTCTTTGACCCTGAAGATGGAAGTGACATGTTCCTCCGAAACGTCGTTTGACTCCCAGCACATTACACCGCGTTATATCCCAGACGATAGAACTCTTCTTGTAAATATGTTACATAAGATGGGTGGTAGGATTACTTAATGGACACTGCCCCCTAAAAGGGCACCTTTTCAAACTAGGACTGACAGACAACCCAACTTGTGAAAGGTGCCAACAAGGAAATGAATCAGCCACACACATCTTATGTGATTGTGAGGCTATAGCTAACTTAAGATTTCACCATCTGGGTCAATTCTTCATGGAACCAAGTGACTTTTATGATGCCCCCCTAAATAAAGTCATATATTTCATTCAAAGTGTAGGATTAATAAAGGGTTGATCCAAAGGCGAAGGACAGTTGTTCATTGAAGGCTGCGGTGCATGGGCCGGTTTTTATGATTCACCACTCGTAGTTCTACTTAAATATGTTACTTATACAGGCATTTGTATTGACAAACTTACGAGTCAGTTAAATTTCACCCCCATACCACATAACACTTTTCAAGGGTGGAGAATATGCACAGTGACATTTTTAACCTGAATATATCACTAAAGCCTTTCTTATGGGCATCAATCTTTCATCACAGATTAAATCAGTAGTAATGCAGCTAACTCATATTTTTAGGTCTGAGAAATGCCAACCAAATACTTCATCTCTACACTGACATCTGACTTGTACCTACAGAGTACCAAATTTAAATTTATCCTGACTGAACTTCATTGTGGCTTGTTTCAGAGGACAGTGTAACGAGAAATGGCACTTGCAGCAACACGTGACAGAAGGAGTAATGCTGGAAACAGAATGTCCAAACTTCTTGATGAAGAAGAAGATGATGACTTCTATAAAACAACCTATGGAGGCTTCACTGAAATTGAGAATGATGATGATTATCAGTATGCTTTCTTGTCAAATCTGCAGATTGACTGAATAGACTAATGAGAAGTTCTTGTAACTTAAGAGCTACAGAGACTCATTAACAATTATTTGCTTCATAATTTTGATAACACAATGGGCCTATTACGACCACCTCTATGGTCTAGTGGTCAGCGTTCCTGGCTACAGATCCAGAGGTCCGGGTTCAATTCCTAGCGCTCCCAGATCTTTTCTGAAAAGTAGTGAGTCTCTAATGGGGTCCACTCAGCCTGATGATGATAATCGAGGAGCTATTTCAAGGACATAGCAGCTCCACTCTAGAAAACTGAAATTAACAGCCTTGAGGATTCATTGTGCTGACCACATGGCAGCCTCTATCTGCAAAAGTTGGCACTAAACTTCGCCAACAAGCGGTGGTCAGTCAGTCGGTGTAGTTTGCTTGCAGACTAAAATCGTGGAGTTTTTTTAAATGGGTCTATTAACTATACTGACAGATGTAAGGACTGTCCCAATCTTATCTTCTTCTTATGAGCATTTTATGGGATAACTCATTTTCCTTGTTAAGTTCATAAACAACTAGAAAATACATTAAAATTTCATAACTGTGGTAGACTCTTTTGAATATGGAACTTTTGAGGATTCATGTAAGGTGGGGAACTTGTTTCCCAATAATGATTGTTACATGGAGTTATTTAATATTGTGTGATATGTACATGCCATTTTTTCTTCCACATTGAAATTGTCAGTTTCATCACTTTTAATAGCTTATTAATATGTAAAAGTAAGTCAGTAACAAAAGCATAGATATTATGCCATAAAAGATGCCTAGCCTTCAGGAATATCATTCATTTTGTTGACTTACATTCTTAATCACATTGAAGAAAATTACTAACAACAAAAAAGAAAACAAGTGATTAGCAAAACTCGTATATCCTACTTTCCTGGGCCTACAAATCTATTACATATGTTGTATGAAGACTTACTGAAATACAGATTCCATATTAAATTTACTGCAGATAACCTCAGAGTTTTATATCAGCACATTTGTAGTGTTGATTTAAAAACAGTGTATCATATATAATGTGCAGGTTCTGAGCTATCCCTATATCAGATTTTATGTGCCTAACGTTGAGGGTTCACAACTTGTTACCATCAAACCAAAAGCCCCTTAAAGTTTGTACAGATGCCATGTTAATGTCTCTCTGCCCTCGCCAGCCATGGCAAACTTTGCACATTTTTTCAGGACCCAAAATTAAATGGTGCTACAGTTGCTACCACCTCATGTGCCTCTGCCAAGATGCTAATTAATGACTGTAAGAAATTAAAATATATAGCCATTATTTTTGATGATATTCATGCCAAGATTCAAGAAAACAGATATGTTAGTTCAAAAGTTGAAAAGGAGCACACATGGCAGGGTAATCTCTTAAGGCTACTCTCTTTCCTTAAGAAGGGTAAGTAGGCTAAATAATGACAAAGAAAAGAGGAACGATCATAAGAAAGTGGCTTCCAGGATGTCCTGAATTCAAGTTGCTCCTGGGCCTCAGAAATGTTTTCTAGAGCTAATTATTGCGGTAAGTGCCACATCATGTTACTGCAGGTTATATGATAAATACACATTGAGATTTTTTGTTTAAATGAAGTTTTGGAGATCCCCATTAATCCAAAAAATTACAAACTGCTACGTGAGTATTCAATAAATGATAAGCAGAAACAAGCAGTCTCAAAGTTCTATTCTTTGCCACAGGAAGGCATAGTTGACAATACAGATGATAAAGGATGTTTTCAAATAGAAGTAAAGTAAAAAAAGTAAAGGTATCCCTGTAACAGGCCTTGGAGGCCCATAAGGTTGCGAGATGTTGAGGTTCCCACATTTTCTAGACAATTGGCTCATAGATGGCAGTAAGGTTGTCACCCCTACGTGCCAGCCGCCCTTTACCCTCAAGAATATTCCTGGTACTAATTTATGTTAGAGGCTGAGTCAACCCCAGGGCTATAGTGCTGCTGGAAGGATTAGGTAAATTGAAAAAATCTAATGACCTCATTGGGATTCGATCCTGTGACCTTCCGGCTTGTAGCATAGTGCCTCAACGAACTACGCTACCGCATGCCCCCTTTCAAATAGAAACAACTGTATAATTTTCATAAGTGCGGTGAAATCAGCTATTATAGAAATGTATCCATTGAATCTCTTCATACACAGGAATTTCACACAAGAAAGCTTACAAATAACTGTTACAGTATGTAAATAGGTAAAAGTAAAATTTCTGTACTTAATTAAGCACTGTGGTATGAAGATGTATGGGGGACTGGAGGCATAGCCTCATCATTCTTGACCTCTGCACTAGATGGAGGTGAGTGATCATCTTCACATCCCAGCTGCTTTACCCTCGAGGAAAGAGCCCCCAGAACCTATTGGACAGGAGGTTGAATGGACACCTGAGCCAGTATGGTTGCCATGGAGTAAAGAGACATCTCTTACCCATGCTGAAAATTGAACCTCATGCACCAATAGCCCGTAGCTATACCAACTGAGCTATCCTGGCTCATTACAAAATGTTAGATTCACAAGGTCAAGAAAATGTGGATCTATATATCCACTCCCCCATATACTTTCCTGGCGTAGTGCTTAATTAGTTAAGCACAGGGACAACTTTATTTTTTGTAACAAATTTGTGTGCATACTACAAACCCATTAAATAACAAATGTTTTTAAATAGGTCTGAAGAGGAAGGAGAAGACGAGGTAGATTCAGACTTCAGTATTGAGGAGAATGATGAACCAGTATCAGATCAAGATGATGATGAGCCAAAGAAGAAGCGCAGACTTGTTACAAAGGCATACAAAGTATGGTGAAAGACTGACAATGTAAACATTTGTATTGTGAGTCTAGCCTGAGACCTGTTTTAAATTTTCCAATCATATGCCCTTCCCAGCCTTAAGATAAGCCTCACTTAGAAATGAGTTCATTTAAATCAGGAACTCTCATTTATATCCAAATAACATGTTAACAGATGTGTGATAATTTGTTGGATCATTTATGTGAAACCCTGAGTACCGGTAATAGGACTCTTCCTTTTGTAATGTTGCATCATGTTTGTGATCTTACAGATAAGTAATGTGATACTTTGTGGAACAATGGAAAAAGTGACAATATAAAGTTTGTGTGGCTGTGTTTGGTTATCCAGTAGGGATCTCCATCCAGCAAGATCTGCATGTCACACATTTCATTAAAAGTTAAAAATGTTATGAGTTTTCATGATATTTATGAGTAATAAGTTTTATAGGAAAGTGTTTTCCATTTAAAAAATTACTGTGGGCATCTAGCATTCAGTATACAATAATGATCATGTGGTTTCTGAAGTTGGAGCCCCCCCCCCCCAAGTTTAATATTTTAAATACTGTAAATAGTAAGTATAATACAGTGGAACCTCGCTTAACGAGCACCTCTCATAATGAACAAAACAAATTGTAAAAAAATGACTCTTAACGAGCAACATTTCGCATAACGAGTGACGAGAAGGGAAGTCCTGGATTGTGCACTTGCTACATCAGTCTGCGTTTAGCACTCGTTCCACTAGCATCTTAGTGTCGCTTGTGTTCAGACATATTATTTGTGACTTTTTTTTGTGCAAAGTTTACCCTTGCAAAAATGTCCCCGAAGAAAAAGCCGCAAAAAGACAGCCATAAGAGAATAAAAATAACCATAGAAATGAAACGTAAAATCATTGAAAGCGAGAAATAGGTGTGAGCATGGCTGATCTAGCATGCACATACAATCGGTCTAGATCGATTTGCACCATCCTCAAGAACAAGGACAAGATTAAGGAGATAGATGCTTCAAAGGGAGTGACGAGAATATCTAGCAACGGTTACGTATTCTCGACGATGTTGAAAGGTTGCTCCTTTCTAGTAATTAGAATTCTAGAATTAGGTATGTATCATAAATAATAAACTAATTATTTCGATTTTTTTTTTCTGCAAATCAAATTCGCATTCCAGGTTGGTTCATTCCGCATAGAAGAAAAGATGAAGATGATTCACACTCCTAAACAATGTATATATAATTTTCTTTGAATAAACATTATACATAAAATTTTTTGAGTATTTTTTTTCGGCATGGAACGCATTATCATATTTTACATTAATTTATATGGGAAAAATTGTTTCGCTTAACAAGTGTTTCGCATTATGAGTAAGATTCTGGAACAAATTATGCTCGTTAAGTGAAGTTCCACTGTATTTGTACAAATAAACATCACCCTCCCACAACTGACATCCAAGTTTTATGGTACAGAATGAGATCTGCGCTTCCAGGCAGAGAAGTAGCATCATTTTTATGTTACCACTTTTATTCATGCCTCCCTCCTCCACAAAAGTTTCATGACAATAACCAGTTTGTTTCTATATATATATAAACTTATGAAACCAGTATTTTGGCTCTGTGTGACAAGATACTTAGTCAAAAGTTTTGCATTTTACAAAATATTATAAATGAAAACAGGACTGCAGGCAGCTGGTTTGTTAACAGCTAATGCTTGACTAGGTACAGTTGTCCCTGTGCTTAAATAATAAAGCACTACACCATAAAGGCATATGGAGACTGGATGTATAGATCCACGTTTTCTTGACCTCAGCACTAGCTGGAGGTGAGTGGTCAGCTTCATTCCCCAGCCGCCTTACCCAAGGGAGCGAGAGCCCTGGTACCCACCAGAGAGGAGGCTGGGTGAGCCCCAGACTGGTCTGGGCGAAGAGAAAACTCTTAACCTTACCAGCACTCGAACTCTGAACCCTATGTCGTCTAGCCCGTAGCCAGTTGTGCTATTCCTGCTCCCCAGTGCCTGACTAGAGGAAAGAAAAGCTCCCATATCCAGATAGTCCATGGTAAGTTTCAACATTTGGAAACCTACTGGCAGCTAAGTCACACTGGCCAGAATGATATGTCTGTACTGAGGGATTAGTGTTTACTGTTTTTCATCTACTTACTTATTTATTTGTTGACCCTATCAGTAGGTCACACCGTAAAAAAGTAAATAAAGCTATCCCTGTGACAGGCCATAGGGTTGTGAGACGTTGAGGGTCCCACATTATCTAGACAGTCAGCTCAAAGATGGCGGTAAGGTTGTCAGCCTTACACGCCGGCTGCGCTTTACTCCCCAGGAAAATTATTTATTTAATTCCTGGTACTCATTTCTGTTAGAGGCTGAGTGAACCTCAGGGCCATAGTGCGGCCGGAAAGATTAGGTCAATTGAAAAAATCCAATAACCTCATCGGTGTTTGAACCCGCGACCTTCCAACTTGTAGCATAGTGCCTTAACCACTATGCTACCGCATGCCCCAGTTCACACTGTATAACATCAAATTCATCATGAAATGTTATAACTTGAAGCATATGACAGTTCCTAACAAACAATATAGACAACTCTCAAGTCAATGCAGACTGTAACCGGATTATAATATTCATGTGTGCATTCATGTACCATCACATTATATCATTAAAGGAAACATGAAAATCTGTATATGACATTTATAAGAAATAGATTACCTGGTGCCACAGGTTACATGGTTAGGTTATGTATATTAAGAACATGGATTGTATTGAAGAATGCAGTCTTCTGAGATGTGGCATCATGTAGATCTTGTGTGAAGTGATGCTTCGGAGGAATGTATCGCCTTCATCTTCAGGGTAGAAAAATTTACAAGCGAGGAATCAGCAATGGATACTATGGAGGCCATCAGTTTAAAAATCAATCCAACACCGTGAAAAACAGAACTCTTTCATGCTAAAGAAATACCAAACCTTGTATGAAGTAAGCTGTTGCTTTTCTTAACCAGATTATTTAACAGTGCTTTCAGTGTCGAGTCTTTTCATGTTAAACAGCATAGGACCATTTTTCATAACATGCCAGTTCTTTCCATGGTGCATCTTATTCAGTGAAACAAGTCCAGTGATGGACAAGGATCATCCTCTACTCTCAGAGTCATAAATCCGTAAAACCTATTGAAATTTCAGATACTAAAGGAAATGTAAGTTTTTATTAAAACATTAATTTAGTACAACTTTGACGATTAATAATGTCTGAAATATCAATCACTGCGTTAATATATAACACCATCACAAACTTTTATTATACCTTCCTTCTCTTATTATTTCTCTCTCTCCCCTTGCTCCAACTTTGGAGCATAGGGCTGATTTCTCAGTTTCATGATCATTTTACAGAGGGTAGGACTCCTTGGACGGGTGATCAGCTCGTCACAAGGCCTCTACCTGAACACAAACACAGAATAAATGCACACACACCAAACATCTATGCCTTCTGTGGGATTCAAACCGACAATCCCAGCTTCCGAGCAAACAAAGACAGTACATGCCTTAGACCACTCAGCTACCGTGACCGGCTTTAGACTTTCCTTACTTAATGTAGATCTCCGACACTGAAAGCTTTAATCCCCCAGCAGCAACCAACCTTTAGAGTCCACTAGAATTTTCTTGGTTAAACTTACATATTTTAATTATATTTAGATCTGACAGTAAGCATATTCTGTATTACAGGAACCAGTAGTCGTACTACAGAAGATAGAAAAGCCTGTTGAAGTTAAACGAAGGAAACCTCGAAAGAAAAGTATATCAGCAGATAATTTTGGTTAGTAATTGTACTAAAAATATTTTTTAAATGAGAAACATAACACACCTTCAAAAGAATTACTAGTTTCTTTTACAAAAATATATGATCATTTATGACATTTGATCATCCATATTTATTATTAATAGTGTATCAGTCCTATGTTTGGTTGAATAAAACACAACTGTGGATTGACTTTCAGACATTTAAAATATACGTAGCAACTCCTTTAATATAAAAATCTGGTTATTTCATTAGAACGCAAATCTATCAGGCGGTCAACTGCAGCCAAATCAGCTGCCACTCTGCAGCGTTTAAAGGAACGTACTGAAGAAGGACGCAGACGCAAAGGTCGGAGGGCAAGAGCTCAGGATGAATGGCGACCCACTCAAGAAGAACTGTTGGAAGAAGCGAAAATTACTGAACAAGAAAACCTTAAATCTCTAGGCAAGTGTACACAGCTTATTTAAGAAGCATGTTAGCCAAGTTTTATTCCTCTATTTTACGATGTCACTTTAGATTTGATTACAAGACATATAGTTTTCAACTTTATACATGTTAATATGGGGCACACGGTTGCATAGTTGGTTGAAGCACTACACTACCAGCTGGAAGGTCATAGGTTCAAGTCCCAATGAGGTGGATTTTTTTTCCAACTTACCCAATCCATTCATCTGCACTATGGCCTTGAGATTGACTCAGCCTCTAACAGAAATGAGTACCAGGTAGCTTTGTGGGGAGGTAAAGGGCGGCCAGTGCATAAGGCTGACAACCTTTGGTTAAATAATGGTTACTCGTTTACATGATACGCTAACAAAAAATTGAAATATTTTGTATAAATTCGGAATTTTCGTCTTTGAAATCAGTTCATGGATTTCTATGATATCTGACACTGTAGGACCTACACAAACAGTTGTAGGAAGAATTTAACTTTGTTTTATACTGGTCAATTATAATCCCTACTACACATGAAATTCAAACCATACTTCATCAGTTTTCTCAAAAATGACTTATCACACATTAAATTTACGCATGACACAAATGTATTTTTCATTAAGATCTAATAAATAAGTTTTGATATTTATAACTGAAGTGAGTTTTGTTTAAAACATATTAAAAAAACTCCGTAGCCTGTAGTCCGCAAGCAAACTGTATCGACCGAGCAACCATTGCTTGTCAGCAAAGTTAATGCCAACATTAGCAGATAGAGGGTGTTGCATAGTCAGTGCAATGGATCCCCATGGCTGTTGATCTCAGTTTTCTAGACCGGAGCCGATATTTCCTTCAAATCGCTCAGTTATCATCACGAGACTGAGTGAACCCCATTTCAGACCCACCACTTCTCAGAAAATCTGGTAGCGCCGGGAATCGAACCCAGGACCTCTGGATCTGCAGCCAGGAATTCTGACCACTAGACCACAGAGGCGGTCAGTTGAAAACATATTGAAAATAATTTTTTTAATATTAATTGAAAGCTTAAGCATTATGCTGCATTAGTAATGATTGGCTACAGTAACAAAGGCTGGTTACAGAAGAGTGTTCAATTAGAGGAATTAAACATATTTCAAACAATTACACATTTTATGACATGAAGAAAAAAATTAATGCCAAGTATCCTATTACATGAGTCATGTTAGCAGAAAATAAAGGCCAGTTGGTATGTAAAAATCAATTACACATTTATACATTTAATGACATGAAGAAAAAAATTAATGCCAAGTATCCTATTACATGATTCATGTTAGCAGAAAATAAAGGCCAGTTGGTATGTAAAAATCACATTTTTTTTAATATTCATAAATGTACTCCATTTCTGGGTAAACCTTACCATTCTTTAGCCCAAAGACCACATGTGGTTAGGAATTACCTCCATGAAAAATAAAACTATGAGATACAATTGCTATCCTCTGAAGATTTAATATAATAATATTATTATTGGCACTACAACCCTTTGTGGGTCTTGGCCCACTCTAAAAACTTTCTCCAGCCATTCCTCTCCTGTGCCTTTGCTTTCCAATTAGCCACACCCAAGTTCCTCAAGTCCTTCTCCACACCGTCCATACTTCTTATTCTTGTTCTGCCTTTCTTCCGTTTCCCTTCCAGTTTTACAATCATTAATCTTTTTACAATTTTTTCATTTTCTCTCCTTACAATATGTCCTGCCCATCTCAATCTATTTCTCTTAATTATGTCAATATCATTAAACATCTTTAAATCAGTATCATACTGGCCTAGAAAATGTAACAAACGAATACATTTTTGTCCCTGAATTTACTCTAAATAAACTACTGAATTTCATATTTGATATGACAAGGTCATGAATATATGTACATTCTCCCTGACAAGAAAGTTATCAAAAATATCTGTAAGCTGTACCAAAACAATGATGATGCTTATTTATTATTGCAGTCTTATAAATATATTCCCATTTACAAAGTTCTGTCATTTCATGAATATATAATTGTAATTAGCGATGTTCTTTTAGCTTTTGTTACATTATCATATCTTATCTTACAGTATGTATGACCTTTGGCCAAAGATAAAGTTATCAGAAGTACGAGGGGGGACCCAAAAATAACCAGAAACGACCTGTTGCGCACGCATGCTTTGTAGTTACGAGTTGTGCTGCTAGGTGGTGTTAGCTGGGGGTCTTCCGCGACTGTTAGTGAGCTGGCATCAGTCTGAGTTAAGTGGTTTGTCTGTGGTGCTCTGTTGTGTGCATTCCTGTTTCAACCCTTTGGCGATCGGTGAGATGGCCAACCAAAAGGAACAAAGAGTGTGCGTGAAATTGATGATGATCATCGAAAGACAATTGACCAACTTTCTGAGGAAACGAACATCTCATGGAGCACGGTCCAGCGAATTTTAACCGAAGGTTTGCACATGAGACGGGTGTCTGCAAAATTTGTTCCTCGCTTGCTCGGAGATGACCAAAGAGAAAACCGCGTGAATGTTTGCCGCGACTTGAAGAGTGAAGTGCAGAACGATCCAGAATTTCACGCACACTCTTTGTTGCTTCTGGTCGGCCATCTCACTAATCGCCGAAGGGTTGAAACAGGAACACGCACAACAGGGCACCACAGACAAACCACTTAACTCAGACTGACGCCAGCTCACTAACAGTCGCGGGAGACCCCCAGCTAACACCACCTAGCAGCACAACTCGTAACTACAAAGCATGCGCGCGCAACAGGTCGTTTCCAGTTATTTTTGGGTCCCCCTTCGTATACATCAACTATAATGGAATAATGATATTTCTTATTTATTATGATAGTCTTTTGAATATACTGGTCTCCAATTGATTTGTTGTCTGGACAGTTAACTTTACCTTGCTACTCTGAAGCTGGTGAGGTACCCTGGTTATGGGTATGAACACTCTGCATTTACCTCCTTTAAGAAGTAGATTCATTCTCTTCTAAAGGTGTAATCACCATCCCAAAACTGGCACCACCTATATGAAACACATCGTTTAATAACATCCAGACAAATCCTCAAAAAAAAAAAAAAAGATTCGCCTCTCTCTGGACTAGCTCTGTCAATTGGGCTGAACTGAGTAGGTTCCACTTGAAGACCAAGGGAGAATCCAGTCTCCAAAACATTGTATGTTAAGAAAAAAAAAAACAGGATGATGGATATGTCCAAAAACACAATAATTTTATTACTTTACTATTGTCACAAAACTTTTAGATCTTATTTAGTTTGAAGGCTGCAGACTCAATTGGGCACGGCTATAAGCCTGGCCACCAAGGTCACCAGACATGATGTGTTTGGAATGTTACTTATGGGGGCATATGGAAACAACCATAAACAATAGGAGAGCTAACAGGCTGCACATTCATTGCTAAAGCACAGAACAGTTATAACTCCTTTAAAAACAGTGGTGGAAAATTTCAGTACTTATTGTAATAAGTTACTGCCTCAATAAAAACTGTAAAACAGTAAGCTCACTTTTTATGCTTATTTCTGTTAATAACTTTAAATATCTGTAACTCCTTCAGTACTGAGGACAACACGATTACTCTTCATTTTTGACTTGCAATTGCTGCCCCTGAACACAGGTGAAGTAACAGCTTTACATCATGGGACACATGTCTATAAGATAAAACTGTCATATTCATTCATGATTCTGAGGAAGTATATTGTAATTCCAACACAGAAAAGTACCAGAAATTGGAGATGGAAAAGAAAAAGACAAGGACAGTGAAGAAAGCATTCCAGGGTCCAATTATCCGCTATCATTCAATGTGTATGCCCCTAATTGAGGTAATACATCAGGAACAGCACGAAAGCCCAATTACAGTGGATGAAGGAGATGACGATCGGGAGAAACAGGGACCTACAGATGTCACAGAGGAGACTACTGAAAACAGGTAAATAATAACAAATTTCACATAATATTCAGTTGCTTCTGCAATGTGTAACCACTGTACAGATTCTTACCTTGTATGTATTTAACCCTCTTCTGTGCCATTTGAACTTTGCTGCATCCTGGTACTACCAGACCAGTTAATTTGAATGTCCTTTATACACTATACTTTAGTATGGTATGTATGACAAGGGTCATTTAATTTTATTATGCACTCGTGTTGTATCCTAAAGAAAGATATAAAAGATGTTAAGCATGGAAATGGATCATATTTAAAAACACTGCATGAAGGGAGTCAGAATTCATATGAATGAAATTCACTTAAACAAAGGCAAAAGTAATTAAACACCATGCCATAAAGACATATGTGTGATATAGCTCCATGCATTAACCCTGGCACTATGCGAATATAAGGCATCTTCATGCCAGAGCAATTTTACCCCTAGGGAAAGAGCCCCCAGTACCTACTGGGTAGAAATCTGGGTAGGCCCCAGAGCCAGTCTGGATGCTGTGGAGAAGAGAAAATATCTCTTACCCCTGCCAGTAATCAAATTGCAATTTCTCAGTCATCCAGCTTAATCTCTATATTAGCCCCCAGTTCCAGGGTCACATAAATAAGCAGTTTAAAGTACAACTATACAGCAATACCTCTATTTGTACATGACCCAGATTTTTTTAAACTTTACATATGAAGATCCTAAAAAAAGATGTTTTCTAATTTGGTATATATTAAATATATGCATGATTTTAAAGCCAATCTGTGTACATAAGACTGAATATGTAAGTAGGTATTATGAACACAGACCTATTTGAACATTCAAGTCGCATGGAAGCAGGGGATTTCATGAACAGTTACATAAGCATGAACTGTTCAAGGAAAATCTGTGCCATAAGTTAGATGGCTTCTTTCATGGAAGAGAGCTCAGTACTATGGCTGCATAAAAATGGAACAGTCTAATTGCTTTGAAAGCTTTTCAACTTCACATTTGTTAAACACTGACACACCCTCAAGACCAGATTTGTTTTGCAACTATTGACATCCTTTCAGATTGTACTCTCTCATTTTTATACTCCTAACATTGTCAACAAGTGCAGAAATCTGAAGGTTCAAAGAATAACTACATGAGTGTATTAAGCACTGTCAAAAAATAACTTTGTGTTGGGCCTGAAAAAATTACATATAACCAGACCTACCAATTAAGTGACCAAAATTTAATCAGTGATGCCAATGTTCCTCATTCTGAAGGCAAATGAAATGTATTCTGATAATTTGCATTTAGCCTCAAGATTATTATACCATTCTAACACATACAAAAAAATTAAGCCTAAAGACAAATGTCCTTACTTCCTTTACATGCCCATAAACTAAGAGCCATCAAACAAATTGTAGTGCTGAAAGTTTGCAGTCACTTAGAGCTTCATAAAAATGACTGAAAACCAAAGTGATGCCAGTGAACACCAGAATTTTTGAATAGATTTTACATGATTAGAAAGGCAATCAAAATGCATTAAATGTAGCCTGTGATATTAATATAAAATACTGGTGTAGGTACTTCATCTGTAAAAGGTTCAGTTGTCCATGTGCTTAATTAATTAAGCACCACACCATGAAGGTGTGTTGGTGAGTGGAGGTACAGCTCAACCATTCTTGACCTTAGCACTAGATGGAAGTGGGTGGTGGGCATCATGCCCTTGCCTCTTTACCTCTGGGGTAAAAGCTCCTAGTACCCAGAGTTCAGGAGGCTGGCTGCCATGGAGAAGAGAAAAATGTCTTGCCTCTGCCAGGCATCTGACCCTGGCTGTCCAGCTTGCAACCCCCTGATATGACTCAGCTATCTGAGCTTATCCTTCATCTGGAAGGAGACATATTTATCAATGCATTCACTAGGTTTCAGTTATGAACCTGAAATTGCAGTGAAGTGGATGGCACTTCTACTTTGTACTTGGGAGGTCCCAGGTTTAAATCCTAATCTGGAGACCAGCAGAGATATCTCATGGTTTTCCTCAGACCATCCAGATATTGGGATATTATCTAAATTATGCCATACCTGCTATACCTCCCTGCACTGACAATTGTTTACATACTCGGAGTGTGGTGTACATGTATGTTGTTTATGTAATTCCCTTATGTTATAAAATGTATATAATATTACAATTTAATTTTTTAAAAATATTAAAATATTCTGACTGAAATTCAAATTGAATTATATGTTTAAAAGAGTGTGTATGTATTCTATCTGCCCCCCCCCCACTTTTGCTTTATGTTGTCATGTCCCTTTGTTTTGTGTTGCCAAATTTTTAGGTGTTCTCCAATGTGTATTCTTGTTTTTTGTGGAATTATTCCTATCATCTGAAATATGAATGTGTTGTCAGTGCGTGTTTTACTAGTTTGTATATTTGGGTAGGAGTATATGTCGGTTTTCCTTACCTTGTGTTGATGTTGCGGTTATATGTTGGCCTAGTGTGTGATGTGTTATTTTTGTGTTCTTTTCTTTTCCTCTGTGGCCTGTGTACTTCAGGGCAGGCCACACAAAGAAAATAAAAGCAGCAGAGTGAAAGATGGGTGGCTGTAAAAGTTTTATGTACCTGATGATGGCCATGTAGGCCAAAAAATGTAATACATGTAAACACATGGTGTGTTTATACCAGAACTGTGTGCACAGGAGTGATAATATCTGCATACTTCACATACTACACTGCATTTTGTTTACCCCATTCCACAAAAAAGAGTGACAACTAGATCGAACTACCTCAACACAATGTAAAGACAGGTCATGAGCATTAAAAAACAGACCACAATATGGTCTTATGGACAACATGACCTTACGGTATATTATTTCCAGTATTACATGTATCTAACTTTATAAAGCTTTATAATACTTGTTGGGCCTTTGTTATAGTAATGAAAGAAAAAGCGAGGTGGAAATTGGAGAAGTTACCAAGAAAGAAGAGAAGAACAGAGAAGTGGGGAGTACTATAAACGATAGTCGTTGTGAAAGAACTTTTATCACATTCCTTGATGATCAGGTGTTTTGGAATGTGTTCCCACAGACTCAGGCAAAACCTCCAACAAGAAGTATCTGTCCCATTACAAGGTATTTTCATTTCAGATGTTACTATGATCTTGATGACTCCCTACTCATACATGCACATGTTACTTCAAAAATGTGTTATAGTGGCACAGTTGTTTTCTCTGTGCACAGGAGTGATAATATCTGCATACTTCACATACTACACTGCATTTTGTTTACCCCATTCCACAAAAAAGAGTGACAACTAGATCGAACTACCTCAACACAATGTAAAGACAGGTCATGAGCATTAAAAAACAGACCACAATATGGCACTCATTATAAAAACAAAAATAGTTTTTTCCAACAAAATATTTCAGTATTGTGATTGGCATGCCTTTCATTCAGGAGGCACACAATTTCAGGCAGTAAGTTATTAGCACATTAAAGACTGTTGATTTAAATATTTAAATGACCCTGGGGACCAGCATTATTAAACCTACTATCCTAACTTGTGCACTGTTCACTTTAAAAATTAATATAAAATCTCCTAATTAACCCTTTGACGTGGTCATTTAAATTCCGCAGCCGCGGCTCCTGCGGTAATATATTCAGCCGGCCATTTAAATTTTGCTCGAAAATTATTTATTCATCATTGTTCTTAAATTCTATGAGATAGGAACATGAAACTTTCACTAAAATGATCTTAAAAGGTGGTTTTATAACCTTACCTTATAATATG